TGGTGGCTCCAAAGGCATAGGGTAATTAGCCCTTCTGATTTTTCAGCATCTTTCGCGCTTGCTCTTGAATGCAATAAAAAATGAAAACTGATATTTATTATATTCCACTTAATCAGGAAAGCTATAGTTGAAGACCTGGCTAGTTTAGGAGCAAAAGTTCACACCTGTGCTCGGAATCAGGAAGATCTTGACAAATCTCTCCAACACTGGCAAAGCTTGAAGCTTAATATATGTCACTGGCTCCATCTGTGATGTATCCTCCCGAGCTGAAAGAGAGAAGCTAATGGAGCTAGTCTCTTCTTTATTTCAAGGGAAGCTCAACATTCTTGTAAGTAACTTCATATAGAATAATTTTGATAATTTATTATGTTGTGTTGCTAAATATATTTGCACATATATAGGTCAATAATGCAGGGACGAGTATATTGAAGAGCTCCTTAGAATTAACAGCAGAAGACTACAAAAACTTAATGGCTATCAATTTGGAATCTGCTTTTCATTTGAGCCAACTCAGTCACCCTCTTCTCAAAGCCTCGGGTGCCGGTCGCATTGTCTTCATCTCTTCTGTTGGAGGCTTTTTAGCTTTTCCATTATCAACTCTTTATGGTCCAACAAAAGGCCAGTCTCATTCAATTAATTATTTTTAAGCTGTAATCATAATTAGGCATAGCGTATAAATGTGATGAGCCAAGTTCAAATCATTTCATGAAATTCATGTTTCAGCTTGACTTTCCAATAACATTCTCGTATTTTTCAGGAGCAATAAACCAACTGACAAGAAATCTGGCTTTGGAGTGGGCAACAGACAACATTCGGGTCAACAGTGTAGCCCCAGGACCAATAATAACCCCACTCCTAAAAGCTGTGAGTTTGATAATTACGATTAATTGGCCTTTTTATTAGACATATAAATGTCTTCCATACTAAAGATATATGAATAAGCATATATTTATGGTATATTTTGCAGTACTTTGAAGCAGCCGGTGATAACCCTATCTCATCTGTAAGCTTTGGGATTCCTATGGGGCGGGCAGGCCAGCCCGTCGAGGTGGCGACGGTGACGGCGTTTCTTTGCATGGCAGCAGCCTCTTATATCACCGGACAAATTATCGTCGCCGATGGAGGAATAATGATGGGACGCTCTCTCTAATTAATTATCAAATTAGTTGGTGCTTTGATTGGGTTAATTAATACCGTTATGTGGCCATTTTAGTTGTTAATTAATAATTGGTGTTTTATGTATGGAAAGCACTTATCAATAGAATTTTTTATTTTTTATTTTTCTGAAAATTATTCATTCTCGTTGATGTTCGTCTCTAAAAGAAAGGTTTTATTTTAGCTTCAAAATATCAATGTTGTTATAGTTGTGAAACTATCAATCATGTTTTTATGCATGGCTCGATTGCTGCAAATTAAAGGTTTGGAATTCGTTTCAAAATGATTTAAATATTCATATTGACCATCAAGCTACTTGTGTTTTCTCTTTTTTAAATGCTATGTATCAAACTAATAACTTTGATCATTGGATGATGATCATTACGTTAATCATTTTATGGTTTCTTTGGGAAGAAAGAAATAATACCAAGCATGTTGGCATTAAGATGTGTGAAATTAGAATTTTGAGATCTTTCATTTTCAAATTCCAGCAATTGTGCTTAGCTCGGGTATTGCTTTCTAAGCATTTTCAAAATAGAAAACTATGGTGTCAATTTTTTAATTTAAGATTTGATGATTTTTTGAGAAGCTCCCCACCCAACTTGTTTCTTTTTTTTTTTTTTGGCAAAAACAGGGGTCTGGGGAGTTTAAACTCAATATTCATTCTATCATCGTTGAGATTCTTTATGGGATTGGTGGCCTGCTAAGGGACCATGATGATAGGTTAATTGTTAGTTTTGCTTGCTCTTATCGGGTTCCTGATGTGAATGTTACGGGATTATATGGTATTTAAAGAGATTTTTTGGAATGTTCAGGCTTTAAAATTCAGGGTGTGTTTGGATTGAAGTTGACAATGAGGTGGTGGTTGATACTTTCATCTATAACTTTTATATCACTCAGCAATTGAATGGCCCTCTTAAGAATTTAGTTTAAAAAATTTCTTGCATTAATAGGAGGGCCAATGCTCCTACTATTTGGCTTGCTGGTCACAGGTATTTTGCTTCTAATCCTTTTTTTTTTTATTTGCTTGGTGCTCCTAACCATCTAAAAGGGATGATCTGTTTGGATGTGCTTGGTATGCCTTATGTTTAATCTTTATTGGGGTTCATGTTGTGTGCTAGCTGCACCTATTTGTATGTTATGATGTCTGCCTTGGGCTACCATGGCTTTCTTGATTCCAGTCTTCCTTTTTGGTTGATGTTTGGTCTTGGTTTTGCTTCTTTCATGTATGAAGGCGGGGAGGTGTCTTATTAGAAGGAGAGAGAAGAAATGCAGTAATATGTATTCGACCCCGGACGGCTCCGACCATTACAAGAAATTCATTGATTACTGGCGGCCTGGACCGGCGGTTATCCAGCCACCAGTAGTAACGGCGACTTAATCGGCGGTCTGACCGCCGGTTATTATCGGCGGCTCAACAGGCCGTTATGCAAGTTTATGCTGCCGGAAATAACGGCGGTCACGAAACAACTCGGTAAATCGCCGTCCTTAAAACTTACCGGCACTATACCGGCGGCTCAAACCGCCGGTGTTAAGTAATTTAGTTACCGATATTAAACTTAGAACTTTGGTTTGACGAACTTGATTGAACTTGTGAAGTTATAACTTTGATTTCATTTATTATTTTGTTTGGTTTAACTTATGAATATATTTTTTATAATTTTTGTGATTGATTATAGTGGTGTGTTGCCCAAAATTATGGTTATTGTTTTCTGTGCTGGTTTAGAGTTTAGGGTGAAAATCCCTCAAATAGAGGGGAGGTTGTCATTTTTTTTTTTCCAGATGCTACAGGTTTTCGGCGGCTAATCGGCGGTTTAGCTGCCGGAAACTTCGATACCGAGCGGCTGATTGACGCCGCCGAAAATCTCTTATAACCGCCGGTAGTTACCGGTGATTTACCGACGATGTCCGGTGGTAGTTTGGGAAGCCGCAGCAATTCTTTCGATTATGACTGCCGGTTAGCCGCCGATACATTTCCCAACGGTCTACCGGCGGTCAGACGGCTGGGAAGCCGCCGGTAAAAACACCGACGGTATAAACCGCCTGAACACCGTCCGTGAAATAAACTGCCGGTAATGTTTCCAGTGTCGTTAATTTTTTACGATGTGAAAACCGCCAAAAAGCTGCCAATTTTTTTAGAACCATCAGAAAATATGATAATAACTATCGGTAATGAGTAAATTTCCTGTAGTGGACTATTCCCTAGATTGTTAGATTTCTAAATTATTTAAACTTTAAATTTTTAATTTTTAATTACGAGTAGAAAATATTTTTTTAGTCCTTAAAGAGCCTAGCGTAAATCAGGCCAAGCACATGCAAGAAAGAAACATAAAAAAGCAGAAAAGTTCTACTGCACAATCAATAGTAAATACATCAATATAAATTAACAAAAAAAATAAAGTAAGAAAGTCCACGGCAAGTGCCATATAAATACAACCTAGGGTCTGCAAAAAAGTATGGATATGCTCCACCGACAACAACCTGGATTCTAATCCTAATGAATGATGCAAGTCTTAAAAGTCGGGTATTTTTTCTTCAAGTCTCCGTCTTGAGGTAGATCATCCTTCTCCAGATTATCTCCCTTAGGATGATCTCCTTTAGGCACCGTCTGGTTCGTCCTCTAAAAGGGTACCCAAATGACTAAGAAATTCCCTTAGAAGAAGTCTTTTTTATTCTCTTTGGGTGCCGAGTATTTGAAATGCCAGACTTTTAGAGACTTTCACAACTCAATAATAGTTACATCAAATTACATTTACAGAAAGAAAATTTAAACCCGGGCTTCTGTATGATTATTCTAATAAAAATCTCAAGCTATTTATATGTCACATCATAATCAATTATATTTATAGAATAAGTAACATGCTTGGCCACACTCTTTTAATTTTAAAGGGGGCTAAGCAGTCTGTGGAGCATCTACATAAAACATCATTAGTCTTAAAGCATTATGATTATGCCCCCTTTATTTAGTGCTGCATGAACGTGACCACCTACATAAGATTGGATTAGTATAAAAGTAGCCCTAGCCCATGGGCAGTCTAACGCACAATTCTCATTACAAGCAAAGTTCAAAAAGCATAGTAATAAAGCAAATATCATCACAACAAACCAGAGCAAAACAAATCAAGTAGCATACGTGTCACACACAATCATGTCTCATCATAGAAATAGAAAGTATGAAAAAGTAAACACCGACCCTAATCCTAAAGCTAGAAGTGGTACCCTAGCACATCTATGTGTGTGTAATAGGGCTTGTGTATCTTTGAATAGGTCTTATGTAAGATAATTAGTTCAAGTTGCATAATGTTAGAGTTTGTTGAAGGCTAGAAAATGAATTTTGATTAATGTTTAATTATTAATAAATTAGGGTGCAATTTTTATTAATTTATTTTGTTGATCCATTTTAATGATTAAGATAGTGAGCTTTGAAATTTAAGTTATATTAGCCAATTTTAGAAAGTCACGGGTCCTCCTATGTACTAGGTTGAGGGGGTCTAAAAGATCACTATTGCAAATAGGCTAAGCTTGGGAGTTCTAGTGTTTTAGTTAAATATTAGGCATTACAAGGAGTATTTAGGCTTTAAGAGTACTGGATTTAGAGTTTTTAGGCAAAGTTATGAATTTTAGAAGTTTAGGATAATTAATGAATTAGTAAAATTGTTTAATAAGAGATGATTTTATGATTTTGCTCCAAATTGATTGGAATCACCTCCAAAGGTCTGAAATGACCTAAAAAAATGTTCTTAAGTGTTTGGAGAAAATTTAGAATTTTTAATAATTTTTAATTAATTAATTAGGATAAAAAAGTGATTTTTCATTAAAGTTAAATTAAGGCTTAAATTAAATTTTAACTAAGGGGCCCTAATTATCTAAGATTAGAGATGAATTATGAAGAGTTTGAGGTATTATATGGAAATTTTTGAGTTTAAATGAATTTATTATAATTTTCTGAAGTTATCGAGATCTAATTAATTAATGGGTTAAATTAGGATTTGTTAATTAAAGGGTCTAAAGGCTCCTAAAAAATTATAGAAAATTCTACGAGGTTTGGGATATCACTAAATTCAAATTTTGAGAGTTTCATGTCAATCAATGATCTATCCTATCTCCTAAAATTTTTCTAATTTTGTTAGACAAATTCTTAATAATTGTCCTTAGGGTGTCATTATGTTCAATAGGTTTTAAAGTAAATTTTGGACTAACCCTTAAGGTAACATGTAAGAAAGTGCATAAAAATAGTAAACACATCAAATTCTAAGATCTAGGAGAGCTTGAGCTAAGTGTTCGTGCATCCTACACATGCGAAAGATGATAAAATAATATTAAAAAGATTAGTGAATGATTGAGACTCAACCACCCACTAATCAATCTCCCCCATGAATATTATTCATAAGCACATCATATATTTAAAATTTTAAATGGAATCTCCCAAAGTTAATGAATTTCAGATATATGTAATTTTAAAATAACTTAAAAATCACATATTAAATAAATTAATTTTTTAGAAAATAATGTAATTCAAAATAATTTAATATTCATACTCATGGGAGATCCACTAGTCACCCAAATGAGGCTTCAAAAAGGGTTTGAAAATAATTTTATAATTTTAAAATAATTAAAGAATTAATTATTTAAATAATAATTAAATAATTAAAGTAGCTAAGGAATATATAAACTGATTATAGAATATTTTTAGCATCTAAAATCATTTTTAAAATAAAATACATATTTTTTTTTTAAAATATATATATATAATAAAGTAATAATAATAATAATAATTTTTAAAATAATTTAAAAGAAGATAATAATAAAAATAATTTGAAAATAATAATAATTATTATAGTAACCAAATGATCAAAATAGTAATGAATAACATAATTATGATTAAAATAATGATGATAAAAAGTAATTATAATTAAAATAATAATAATAATAAAATTGTTCAATTACAATTTTAATAATTTTTTTTAAAATATATATAATATTCTTAAATGAAATTAATTTTAAATTAAAGAGGATAAAAATACAAATAATTCGACATATTACACATATATTTTGGATTTATAAATAATGTTAAAGTAATTTTTAAAGAAATATAAATAAAAAAAAGATTTTAAAATAACTAAAATGTCGGTGGCGGCGGGCCACGCATCAC